ACAGTGGGATATTTTTTTTTAGTATGAACGAGTATACGCGGTATTTCACTTTCAAAGAAATGGAGCGCTAAAAACGCACTCTAAAGCCAAATAAAGAAATATTCAATTAAAATAAAAAAATCTTCAAATAAACCAAATATTGTCATCAGAACACTTTATTCTTTTATATGGAGTTTCTAATCTGCTATTTTTACTACAGTGTTAGATACCAAATGAAAAAGTTAATACTTTTCAGTAATAAAGTAAAAAGATCACACAACTGACCTTGAGGCTGTTAGCAACTTTAGATTTCTGCCTGTAAATGGAGTACAGAATTGCCGTGATAGCCGAACTAGTGGCCAGCAATATAACTTGGCCAGTAGAAGGGCGCCCCCCACTTTCCATCACTGCAATTTAGCTCTAGTTCAAACATATTAAAAAAAAAGAAAGGGTTACAATTTGGTTTTCCCTTTGATATTTTCATACCCTCTGCTCCTTGTTTCCCACCCCCTTCCATTTTTTTCCTTCCCCCCTCTCCCTTCTCCCCTATTTATTTTGGGCCTGCACATCCTAAACTCAAAACTCCAGTCATCTGAAGAAGTGACCTGTGCCCACAATAGCTCATACCACCATCTACATGTTTTGTTAGTCTACAGCAGAGGTGGGCAAAAGGGCCTCTGCGGGCCGAATCCAGCCCACAAAGCAGGTAGATCCAGCCTATGGATACCCTGCTGCTCCCCTGCCGGCAAAGGGGCTCCTCCACCCCCAGACGAAATCATGGTTTGGGGGTGGGGTAGCTCCATCCCTTCCCATTTAGGCCCGCCCCTTCCAGGGTGGACCGTGTGCAAAAATTGCCTACCCCTGGTCTATAAAGTGCTACCAGACCATTTGCTGTTTTTTAAGTTAATAGTGATCGGGTTATTAAAAGACTTTTCTGTGCAAAATAGCTTTTATGTCACCCTGCTTTGGAGAGGAGGATCAGCTCTTATTAATGAAAAGGATTTACAGTGGTCTCAATCTGAGACAGAAGCTCTGAAACCGTGTGCAAAAATTGCCTACCCCTGGTCTATAAAGTGCTACCAGACCATTTGCTGTTTTTTAAGTTAATAGTGATCGGGTTATTAAAAGACTTTTCTGTGCAAAATAGCTTTTATGTCACCCTGCTTTGGAGAGGAGGATCAGCTCTTATTAATGAAAAGGATTTACAGTGGTCTCAATCTGAGACAGAAGCTCTGAAACATCTAG